TGAGATTTTTTTTGGTAGAAATCCTCCATTAGACGGCACAATCTGAGAGTTCTGATCGTGTCAAAAATTTGCAAATGCAGCTCAAACTCAAGTAGATCCAAATACATGCTGCTTTTATTGCCTTTCAAAATCCTTGTTAGTCTCTGACCCCTTGGCTCTATTGAGTTAGTGACGGTAACGGTCAGCTAGCGGTTGTTCATATCTAGGTAGGCCAAATTGCTAGTCCCAACCTTCTATATTTTTTTCAGTTTCTAACGCCGTTACTCGTTACCTTTTGAAGAAAAGTGAAATTAGGGTCATTCACAATATCAGAAATACATTTCTGGCACTTATACGACGCCTGTTGATATGTGCCATTTAGTTCCAAAATGAAGCATTGAAGCCTACCTAATTGTTTTCAGCAATGACTGATCCTGTGATAGCATACAGCAGTGATCGATTATGTGACAGTATGTGTTTGTGGCTGAAAAACCTACAAGAAGTTGGTGATGCATCACATGCCGAGGACTCCAGATGTTTCGCGTGCATACATTTTCAATCAAAAATAGCATAAAGTTAGAATATTTGTATGTATATCATTTTGAATAGCTAGAGGTTTGTTCACTTAGAGGCCCCAGATACCAGCATGTTTGTCTGGTAGTAGTAACACATAACAGGCATAAGACTAGGTGACAAGATTTTTGTAAGTTTGTACATTAGCACACCAAAAGTCTACCGGCAGAGGTTACTTGAATACCCTCTCTCCACCCGCGCTCCATAACTTGGTAAACGAACCAACTTGTGCAATTGGAAGCCATGAAATAGATATCACCAGAAAAGAGACTTTGTGGGCTAGATTGTGTTAAGTACTCATTCAATGAATCTACCAATATTAATTCTTGGATCGCTGTCTTTCTCCATCACGTTATCACCAATGTTTTCGTGGTTTTCGATGCTCAATTCTTCTCAGCAGCAATAAATAGTCCAGTCTGTGCGTCCCTCGACGAACCTTATTAGGCAGGGAAAACTCAGGCTGAGCTCTTTTGCCTGGATCTTATGGTCCCAACTTCCCTGCAGGAGACGTTTCTATTTCTCAACTTAGGAGTAGCTTTCAGAGCTTTTTACGATGACAACCACATAATCCAATGAGGAATTTTATCAGGCCGGTTTTTATTTATTTATTTTTACTTGCGACAACTAGACGGCCTTGTGGCACCTAAGAGAAAATTGACAGGCAGCAGAGGCTGAGGTAAAGAAACCGGGTGCTTCATGGACAAGGCATGACTATAAATTTCCTTCCATAACCTCCATTGCTTTAAAGAAGGAGACTTCTTTCACATGATCCCCAACTGCCTTTGGACTCCCTTCTGCACAAACATGGCAGAGGAAGGAGGACAGGGCAGTGGAGGCCTGGAGCTGACCAGAGACGGCACTGTGGATCTCAAAGGCCGCCCTTTTGTCCGTTCAAAAGGAGGGGGTTGGAAAGCTTGTTCTTTCATAGTCGGTAAGCATGTTACTCATCGGCATGATACTTACATGTATTGTTTAATTCACATATGCTGTGTAGTTTGTGTTTTATCTCCTCCATTCATCTAGACTTTTTTGTCGGGAAGCTTTTCGAAAATTATTGGTTCCATTGAGAGTCTCAGACATCAGTCGAACATCTCGCTGCTTGGTGTTAGATTACTCTTGAAGGCTAGGCACTCATCAATAACCAATGATTTGATTCAATCCAACTTATAATTTTGCAGGATATGAGGTGTTTGAAAGGATGGCCTACTATGGAATCGCCTCAAACCTTGTCGTCTATCTAACTAGCAAGCTCCACGAGGGCACCGTCCCTTCTTCAAACAATGTAACCAATTGGGCTGGGACTGTGTGGATGACACCAATTATAGGTGCATATATTGCAGATGCCCATCTTGGCCGATATTGGACTTTCGTTATTGCTTCGGCAATTTATCTATTGGTAACATTCTTCATTCTTAATCACTGCCTTTTCCTTGTATGAAGAGTAGTGCATCTAACTCTTTTTGTCATAAAATTCATGTAGGGGATGGGCCTATTGACCCTTACCGTCTCTCTGAAATCACTTAGACCTCCGCCGTGCAACTCGTCAGACTGTAACAGTCGTGCAACACCTTTTCAAGTAGGCATTTTTTATGCTTCCCTCTACATAATAGCAATAGGGACTGGAGGGACTAAGCCTAATATATCAACCATGGGTGCTGACCAATTCGATGATTTTGAGCCAAAAGAGCGAACCCAGAAGCTCTCCTTCTTCAATTGGTGGATGTTCAGCATCTTTTTCGGTTCTCTCTTTGCCAATACGTTTCTGGTCTATATTCAAGACAACAGGGGTTTTTCAATAGGCTATGGGATTCCCACGCTTGGACTGGGTATCTCTGTTGTGATTTTCTTGATTGGTACTCCTTTGTATAGGCACAAAGTGAGAACGGGGAGTCCCTTTACACAAATGGTTCAGGTTTTGGTTGCAGCTATCAGGAAATGGAGGGTACCTCTTCCTGCCGACCCGAAAGATCTCTACGAATTGGATATTGAAGAGTATGAGAAAGGGGGCAAGTTCAGAATTGAGCACTCCACTTCACTAAGGTTCACGTCTCCTATTCACTCATTATTTCCTGCGCAGTTTTTTTTAAAAGAACTTCCTGCGTTTATTTTTGTGAAGGAAAAATTCTGTAGGACAAGTACAAATAGACCAACAATGCTTTCTTTATCAAAAGTTGGGTAATCAATATGTTGGGGATTCGAAACAATCAATCGAACCCTTGCCCTTCCGGACCTTGTGTTGAAAGTAGGAAAGAAGGAATAATACCACAAATAAAGATCTAACCTTGCAAAAATAGTAAAGGAGACGAACACACAGATTTAACGAGGTTCGGCAACGTGCCTACGTCCTCGGGAACCACACCACACAATTCTTTTATTAATTGAAGAAGAAAATACAAGCTCTCAAACAAGGGATTAATCTCTCTAAGATTCTCTCTCTTTGCAGTCAAAAAGCCCTCTTTTTAATATCTTAAAACCCTAAAAACATTTGGGGTATATATAGAATCCTGCGTGAAACAGAATCCAAATTAGAACAGGATTCTGTTTGACTGCGTCGCGGTCGACCGCGGAAATTCCAGAGAGTTGAGCGGTCGACCGCGGCGGTCGACCGCACCAAAAAACCCGAGACCAAAAATGAGACCAAAAACTCTACAGGACCGTCGCGGTCGACCGCCTTTAGCTTCAGCTTCTTCCCATCTCCTGTGCGCGTTCGCGGTCGACCGTCGCAGTCGACCGTGAATCTGTCTGCTTGTTTTTCTCGTCCTTTTTTATTCTAGCCTTCGTCCGGACTTTGGGTCTACACCTTAGACTAACAATCTCCCACTTAGAGACCAAAGTGCCTGCAATGAGTTCACCCGAACTCTCCCCTTCTTCGCATGTATCTTTTCCCCCGGAAAGATTCTTTCTTCAATCAACAATATCTCGGCGATCTCGCTGATCCTCGTAGTGTGGCTCCGCCTTCGTCTTCTACTCGTGAAGGCCAACTGAAGTTACGCACAACTCCAGTTTCTCAATGGCGACTGCCTTCGTCATCATGTCCGTCAGATTTTGACTCCCCAAAATCTTCATTAAATGCAACTTTCCGTCTTCAACCAGCGAGCGTATAAAATGGTATTTAACGTCGATGTGCTTCGTTCTGGCATGATATACTGGATTCTTGGCAAGATGTATAGCGCTCTGGCTATCACAATAAAGAACTCCTCTTCCTTGCTTCAGATCCAACTCTTCCAAGCACCCGTTCAACCAGATCATCTCCTTACTTGCTTCAGTCACCGCGACATACTCAGCCTCGGTTGTAGACAAAGTCACAATCTTCTGCAGACGTGAGACCCAGCTCACTGCTGTCGATGCTAAGGTATAAACATACTCTGTGGTGCTTCGCCTCGTATCATGATCACCGGCGAAGTCCGCATCCACGTATCCCTGCAGTACCAACTCCTTCCTCCTGAAACATAATGGCTTATTCGTTGTCCCTCTCAAGTATCGTATTATCCACTTCACTGCCTCCCAATGCTGTTTCCCTGGATTGCTTACAAATCTGCTCACAACTCTCACTGCATGGGCGATGTCTGGCCTCGTGCAAACCATCGCGTATATGAGACTCCCAATGGCCGAAGAATATAGCACCCTGCTCATATGCTCTCTATCTGCATCTGTCTTAGGCGATTGCTCCTCAGATAGCTTGAACTGACCTCCAAGGGGTGTGCTAACAACTTTAGCATTCTGCATGTTAAACCTCTGAAGTACCTTCTCAATATATTCAGCTTGGCTTAATCTCAATGTACCTTCAGCTTCATCCCTACTGATTCGCATCCCTAGAATCTGCTTCACTGCGCCCAGATCCTTCATTGCAAATTCCTTTGCTAGCTGTTTCTTCAAACTGTTTATCTCCTCCAAACACGATCCTGCTACCAACATGTCATCAACATACAATAATAAAATAATAAAGCTGGACTCGAACCTTTTGAAATAACAGCAATGATCCGAATTGTATCTTCTGTAGCCATTGTTCTGCATGAAGTTATCAAACTTCTTATACCATTGTCTCGGAGCCTGTTTCAAATCATATAAGCTCTTCTTGAGCTTGCATACCATCTCTTCCTTTCCTTCTTCAATAAAGCCAACATGCTGCTTCATGTAGATTTCTTCATCCAAGTCACCATGAAGAAAGGCAGTCTTCACATCTAACTGCTCAAGAAAGAGGTCTTCTGCAGCCACCAAACTCAACACCACTCTGATGGTTGTGAGTTTCACAACAGGGAAAAATATCTTCGTGTAGTCCACTCCTTCCCGCTGTTGAAAACCCTTTACTACTAATCTGGTCTTGAATCTCTTGCTTTCATCACTCTCTTGCTTGACCCGGTAGACCCAGTTGTTATGTAAGGCCTTCTTCTGTGCAGGTAGCTGGGCTAACTCCCAGGTCTCATTAGTGAGTAGAGAATCCATCCTTCCACCCTTCTGAAAACTAACCCTCTTCTGCTTCCCAAAGATATAGTCTTCACAAACCCCGACTTCCACGGTGTCGATCCCAATTAGCTTTCCTTGTGAATGCAAAATCTTTATCCCTTTTTCGCTCATGTGCCCTAGCCTATTGTGCCACAGATCTGTACTCTCTTTGTCAGCTACAATTGCGAGGGTGTCACTGGCATGTAAGGTGAGATAGAGAGTTCCTAGTTTGTTGTCTCGAGCAACTATCATCGTACCGTTGGAGATTCTCTACGAATCCCCTGTGAATATCGAAACATAGCCTTCTGCTCCAAGCTGTCCAACCGAAATAAGATTCCTCTTCAGCTTCAGTACGTGTCTTACGTTCTTTAAGGTCCACTTAGAATCCTTCATCTGAATCTGCACTTCATCCTTTCCAATAATATTACAGGGCTCGTTGTTTCCCAAATACACTTTTCCAAAGTCCACTGCTACATAATTCTGAAATAGCTTCCTGTTAGCAGTAGCGTGGAAAGAGGCTCCTGAATCGATAACCCAGGAATCCGAATCGCTGTCTATTGCAAGAATCAAGGCATCCTGCACGATATGAGCCTCCTGCTCACCCGCATTCTTCTTTGGACTTTTGCAAACTGAAGATATATGGTCCTCCTGACCGCAGTTCTAACACTTTCCTTTGATAGGCCTAACCTTCGAGTTCGACCTCTTCTTTACTGATTTCGATCGATTCCTGTTCTGGTTTCCTTTCTTCTGGCTTCTGCCTCTCTGCTCGAAACTTAGAGCTGAACCTGAACCTTCTGATTCGGACGATTTTCTTCTAATCTCCTCGGATAGAATCATGCTAACAACTTCACTCAGGTTCAACTTCTCCTTCCCCGCCGAATTGCTGATTACCGTCACACAACCTGCCTAACTATCCGACAACTACGATAGAATCAATAGGGCTTGCATTTCGTCATCAAATATGATGTCCACAGAGATAAGCTGATCAACAATAGTGTTGAACTCGCTAAGATGCATCGTGAAGGACCGTCCTTCTGCCATCTTGAGGTTAAAAAGAGTTTTGACTAGATGCACCTTGTTTGCTGCCGATGGTTGCTCGTACATCTTTGCGAGCGCTTTCATAAGCCCCACTGTCGTCTTCTCCTTCAAAATATTGTGAGCTACTGAGTTGACGAGCGACAACCGGATTTGCCCTAAAGCCTTCCTATCTAGTACCTCCCAATCACCATCTGACTCCTCCTTCTTCTTTTCATTTTTCTTGCCCATCAACGGGCGGTACAAGTCCTTCTGGTACAGATAATCCTCCATCTGCGATTTCCAGTAGGCAAAGTCTGAACCGTCAAACTTCTCGATCTTTGATTTGTTTTCCTCTGCCATGGCTTTCACACAAATTGCTAAACGAAGCTCTGATACCAATTGTTGGGGATTCGAAACAATCAATCGAACCCTTGCCCTTCCGGACCTTGTGTTGAAAGTAGAAAAGAAGGAATAATATCACAAATAAAGATCTAACCTTGCAAAAATAGTAAAGGAGATGAACACATCGATTTAACGAGATTCGGCAACGTGCCTACGTCCTCGGGAGCCACACCACACAATTCTTTTATTAATTGAAGAAGAAAATATAAGCTCTCAAACAAGGGATTAATCTCTCTGAGATTCTCTCTCTTTGTAGTCAAAAAGCCCTCTTTTTAATATCTTAAAACCCTAAAAAACGTTTGGGGTATATATAGAATCCTGCGTGAAACAGAATCCAAATCAGAACAGGATTCTGTTTGACTGCGTCGCGGTCGACCGCGGCAGTCGACCGCGGCAGTCGACCGCGGAAATTCCAGAGAGTTGAGCGAACTCCAGAGAGTTTGACGGTTGA